GGGCCTGGCTAGAGGGGCTCTGAGGGAGCAGGAGAGGAGCAAGTATCTAACTTTTCTCTGCTACCCCAGGTGGCCTGAGTCTGGGCGCTCACTGCACGGCCCACCGGCCTGGCTACGAGTCCATGTGAACCACAGGATGGCCTTAGAGCTCAGTTCTCTGAAGGCATCATCAGGAACCCTGAAAACAACAACTGGCTCTCCTTCCAGCCAGCCAGCCCTGACTCCCAGCCTCCACAGGCTTCTTCCTTTGTGGCTTCATTCATTCAACAAAAATTTGCCGGGATCTGGTTTTTCCAAGGGTCATGAAGCTGTGACATAAATCGATGATATGCCAGTTCCATGGTGGGTGACGCTGGGCACGCAGAGGGGAGTCAGTCCTGCCACCTGCCCTGCCCTCCAGGAGCTCCCACCCAGTGTGGGGACCAGTCTAGGCTCAGGCATGGCCCCAGGGCCCTTGCTGTCTCTTTTCTTTGTCTTTCCATCTCTTTTCTTCCCTGTGTCTTTTTTTTTTGCTGCATGGCATGCAAACTTCCTGGACCAGGGATTGAACCTGCTCCCCCTGGAGTGGAAGCACAGAGTCTTAATCCCCAGGCCAACAGGGAGGTCTTCCTTGTATCTTCCTCCTTTTAGTTCTTGTCTTTTGGCTCCCTCTCTGATTTAGTCACCCTGGCATTCATCCTCAGTCCTTGTTCATTTCATTAATAAATCCACTCCTTCGGCTGGCTTTTCCTGGATGCTTCCTTTCCGCTGGGCCTTCCACCGTGGATGCCGAGGTTACTCAGACCAGGCCCTGCCTGCCAGGGGCTCCAAGTCCCGTAGGGGTAGGCAGAGCCCAGGGCCGGTGTGGCAGGAGGACTGGCTATGTCTGCGGGAGAGGTGGGGTGTGGGGGTGAGCTTTCTGGGGAGACTGTGTTTCGGAACTTCTCCAGGGCCACGGGAAGGTAATGCAGGCAGAGGGACCCCCGAGTAGAGGAAGGGAGAGGCTGGGAGTTCTCAGAAGATGGGGAGCAGCACTTTGTGGTCCACTGTCGAATGTGAGGGGATGACAGGAAGTGAGGATAGGTGAGAAGTAGTGCCTCTAAGCCCACAGTTGACTCTCTCTTGAGGGTGATGGGAGCTAAGGGTGGAGGAGGGGAGTGCCAGAAAGCCCCCACTCTGCGCCCTCCCCTCCACTCTGGGGGCCAGAAGGGGCCAGAAAAAAGACTGGCAATCCAACAGGAGGGACATGAGACAGGACAAGGCTGCACTGGGGCCAGGGCACAAGAGGGAAAGGAGGAGCCAGAAAGATTCGGGGCGGGGGGGAAGGACTTCCCTGGCGGAGAAGTGGATAGGAATCTGCCTGCCAATACAGGGGACATAGGTTTGATCCCCAGTCCAGGAAGATTCCACATGCCTTGGAGCAACTGGGCCCACGAGCCACAACTACCGAGCCTGCACGCTGTAACTCCTGAAGCCCGTGTGCTTAGAATCTGTGCTCTGCTACAAGAGAAGTCACTGCAGTGAGAAGCCAGGACATCGCATCAAAGTGTAGCCCCTGCTCGCGGCAACTAGAGAAAGCCTGAGCACAGCACCGGAGACCCAGTGCAACAGAGAAGTAAATAAGTCCAGGAGGAACTGGACTCAGGGATCCAAGGGCTTTGTAGGGCAAGGAGCAGGAAGGCGACAAGGATAGTGCCCAGGGGTGTGGTCCAACTAACTGGGTGGGATGTCAGGGGCCTCCCTGATTTGGTGGAAGATGCTGAGCTCAATGGGGCTTCCCAGGTTGCTCAGTGGTTTAAAAAAAAAAAAAATCTGCCTGCCAGTGCAGGATATGCAGGAAACTCTGGTTCTATCCCTGGGTGAGGAAGATCCCCTGGAGGAGGAAATGCAACCCACTCCAGTATTCTTGCCTGGAAAGTCCCACGGACAGAGGAGCCTGGTGGGCTACAGTCCACGCGGTCACAGAGTCAGATATGAATGAGCCACAGCACGCTCGCACGCCTAGCTCAGTGGGGATGTGGTTGAGGGTCAGGGTCTGAGAGATGGTAGGAAGCAGACGAGGACCCAGACTGGAGATTGGGTTTGGGATGCTCTCAGAGCATCAGACATCCCTGGAGCTCACCTGGTAAGAAGATGCAATTGGAGTTCTCCAGGAGAACAGGCTGTGAGAAGCAGAGGGAGGAGGAGGGGCAGGAGGCTGCCTGGGGGCTTGGGAGGGCACAAAGAGCTGGGGACCAGGAGAGCTTCTGGAGGTCAAGGGAAGGGAAGTTTCTAGAAGGACATGGGCTACCGTGTCAAGGCCCTCAGGCTTCCCCGGACTTGCCACCTGACACTGACTCTGTCACTTTGCCAGAAGAGCTGCCCCTGTGTATGTGTGTGTATGGCTGGGTGAGTGGTTATCTCTTTAAACGGCTGCTAGGAGAGGGGGGGTTCTGGAATTCTGCCTCATAGAGACAGTCTCCCTTCTCTCACACCTCTGGGCCCTGTCCAAGAAGCCTGAGGGAGCTGGGGGTGAGTCATTTAGGTGGGTGTGCACAGAGGTGGGGTGTTAGGAAGGCACACCCATTAGTGGACAGAGGTCTCCAGACAGAGGGGAGGTTCCTAAGCTGTGGTGCCTGAGGGGAAGGTGGTCCGTCTTAGGTCTGGGGCGGGGGGGCGGGGGGGAGCTGAGAGGGGTCCCCAGAAGTAGAAGCCCCAGGCAGGGGTGAAGGAGTAGCTATCTGGGATACGGAGGGACATGCAGGAAGGGGTCCCGGGGACCTGAGGGTGACTGGGGCATGGGTCAGTCTTTGCAGGCGTGGTCCTTGGCAGCAGTCGCCCCGGCATGGGGGTGAAGCGGAGCCTTCAGAGCGGGGGCACCACGCTGGGCTTCTTGGCCAACTTCTTCATCATTCTATCCAGTGCCTCCAACTACTGGGTCCGCTACTCCGGGGGCCACAGCGGCCTTTGGCAGGAGTGTAACGAGGGCGTCTGCTCCAACATCCCCTGCGATAGTGAGGCCCAGCGGCCCAGCTGTCAGACCCCTGCCCCCCCGTGAACAGACAGCCCCCAGCACTGACCGCAGCTGCCCCCTCACCTGACACCACATCCTGCAGCGTCCCCACCCCCCTGCTCTTTCCACTTCAGCCCCTCCTTGACCGAGGCCACCACGAACCCCCACTCTGGGACCTGCTTCCCTGTTGCAACATTAACCTCCCCTCATGATGTAACTTCCGAGTCCCCATCCAAACCCCTGACTCTGCTCCCAGCCCGGAACCGGCGGGTGGGGGTGATTGGCAGGAGCGGCGCCAGCGGAGCTTGTTGACGCTGTCCGCTCTCCCCAGGCAGGCTGATGGTGACCGGGGGGTGCATGGTGCTGGCGGCGGGCTGCGGCTTCGTGGGCTTCGTGATGGGGCTGCGGATTCTGTGCAATGAGGGCTACTCTCGGGGTCAGACCACGTGTTCCGTCTTCTTTATCTCGGGTGAGATGGCACAGGGTGGGCCTGGGAGAGAGAGCCCAGGAGCGGGGCGGGGCTCCGGAGGACAGGCTTCGAGGGGGAGGGGCCAGGGGCGGGGTCGGGAAGAAGGGGGCCGGAGGGTGAGCGAGAAGGGCGTGGCTGGGGGCGGTGGGCGCGGTCAGGGTGGGGCCTGGGTGCAGCCCTCAGGCCAAGCTCACCTAGCTGCGGGGTGGGGCCCAGGCCTGCTTCTGCTGATCGCCCTGACAGTCTACACAGTGAAGAATGCATGGAAAGACGATGTCTTCTATTCCTGGTCCTATTTTTTGGGGTGGCTGGCTTTACCCTTCTGTATTCTCGCGGGTAACATGGGCAGCGGAAGAGGGTGGAGAGGGGACTTCCCCGAGGGCCCCAGCCCCCTCCTAGCAGAGACTTCCCAGCTGCCCTCCCAGGGACTTCCTAACACCCTCCACTCTGGGCCCTTGGAGCCCCAAACCCCAGTCCCCGGGGCCCTCCTGGTCATCTGCCCCAGGACCCACCCTGCTCCACCCGCCCTCCGTTCCCCTTCCCGCCAGGCTTCTGCTTTCTGCTGGCGGACATGATCATGCAGAGCACAGATGCCATCAGTGGATTCCCCGTGTGCTTATGACCGCAGCTGCCTGGGGGCAGAATAAAGGAACGGATCCCACTACCAGCTGACTCCAAGTGACTTTCTGGGGGACCCGAGGATGCGTGCATGGGGTACCTGGAGGCTCAGGGAGGAAGTAAGGACGCGAACCTACAGGGAAAGTGGAGACGTGGGGGACGCAGAGAGATTCCGACGTGGGTAGGACCAAGGACATGGGCTTTGATTGGAACAGGTACACGGGGGCTGTGGAATCAGGAGGGGACAAGGGGTGCGTGGAGAAGAGGTAGGGACGCAGACTTGCGGGGAAAGTGGAGGCGGGGGCGGGGGAGGACGGACTGGAGGGAACGCAGAGGTGCGATCGTGGAGGGGATGAGGAATACGAGCGTGGAGAGAACGGAGGGGCGCGGACACCTGCGGACTTAGAGCCTCGGGGACAGGAGCACGTCCGCTCTCACCACTCTAGAGAGGGAGAGTAAGAGGTGGGGACCTCGGGGAGGGGGCCGACCCTCGAGGGCTTTGGGGAAAAAAGTTTGGGACGCCTCCCTCCCGGGCAAGACCTTTCCCCCAGTTCCCGGCCACGCCCCCTTCCAGAAGCTCTTTCCCTTCCCCTCCGGGTTCCGCCTCCCTCCCCAGGGACAGCTTCCCATTGGTCCGCGTCTGCTGGCGACTCTGCCTCTCGGCCTCCCGATTGGTCCTCTGTCGGGGCGGGGAGGCGAGCGCCGCCGCGGTTGGCTGGCTGGCTGCACGGGGCGCAGGCGCGGAGGAGGGCAGGGGGGCGGGGCGAGCGGTCAGGGAGGCGGAAGGTGAGTTCGGACCCAGCGGGTCGCCGCGGCGGGAAGATGGCGGAGCTGCGCGCGCTCGTGGCTGTCAAGAGGGTCATCGACTTCGCGGTGAAGGTGACCGGGCCCCCCCCTCCTCTCCCACCTCCCTGAACCCTGCGGTCGTGTACTTCCGGGGTCACGAGCGCCCACCGTATGAGGGTCTTCTGGTACCTCCCGTGTCTGCCGCTCTCCCAAACGTCAAAGTCACATCTGAGAGCGGAGATCACCGAACGGAGAGGTTGTGAGCTTCCTGTCAGAACCCGTCCTGGTTCATTTAAACCCAGCCCTTCTGGGGTCATGACCCCGTCCCCCTGCCGTCATTTCTATACTCAGTGTCTTGAGAACTGTGTGCGGGCCGAGTTACCGTCTCTGTTTCTTACCTGCTGGAAGAGCCGTGGCCTCTAACGCACGAAGAAACAGTCACAGAGAGCCCAGTCGGCTGAGAAGGGGCTGAGCCGGGATTCCCAGCCAGTCCCGCTGACTCCTTACCCCAGTTAGTGCCTTTGAACACGAGCCAGGATTTCACTCGCTCGGCTACGTTGCACACTCAGAGGACTGTTGGGCACAGGCAATGTGCTATAATGGAAGTCCTCTGGGAACCTAAAAGCTATCCAGCCCCAGGGCAAGCGAGGAGGCTCTAGCTCGGAAGGGGAATGGTTTGCTAAAGATGAAAACCAATCTGACAAGCTGATGGAAATGCTTACAACCTCCACCAGAAGGGGTGGAGGGCAGAGTCCCTGAGGACCGGGCTTGTCCCCAGAAAAGCTGATCTGGACAGAGGTAAATCAGAGAGACTCCCTCAGACAAAAACCACTTTGTCTCAATAGTTGGCCTGAACCAGACTGAAGGCAGTGACTGTCCATACACGTCTGTCCCCACCTCCCCACCCCCATCAGTACACTTGAGTACACCTCTGTGTCCCCAGCATTGCCCAACACAGGGCCTGGAAGCCTGTCCCCGCATGAAAACTTCAGTGATTGTTGACAGCTCACGTTAAGTGGGTCCTTGCTATGCACTAGGCAGCGTTCTTAGTTCTTGACGGAGATGAACTGATTCAGTCCTTTCATTACCATCTAGATATTATGAATCCCATTGGACAGGTGAGGACACAGGCCCATGGAGGTTCTGTTGGTGGTCGGATCACCCAGCGGGGCAGCAGCAGTCAGGATCAAAAGGTAGCCAGGGCTTCCTCTCATTTCCACCTGACACCCATTTGGCCTAATGACAGCTCTGGCACCATGTGACAAGGGAGTTGCCTCCACCATTTGGGGGGCAAGCTTGTTTTAGGATCCTGCAACCCAATTCTCCTGGTGTCCTCCCCACTCTGACTGTCCCTTTGGGCTCCCATAGCCTCCCTCAGTGTTAGTGCTAGTCCCTGGCCTGAGATGCCTGTCTCACCCATCAGACAGGCTCACATTTGACCCAGCTCTAGGTCTCAGCTTGGGCTTTCCTGGTGGCTCAGATGGTGAAGAATCTGCCTGCAGTGCTAGAGACCTGGGTTCGATCCCTGAGTTGGGAGGATCCCCTGGAGAAGGGAATGGCTACCCACTCCAGTATTCTTGCCTGGAGAATTCCATGGACAGAGGAGCCTGGCAGGCTACAGTCCATGGCGTTGCAAAGAATCGGACAAGACTGAGTGACTAATGTTTTCTTAGATCCCAGCATTGCCCAGCACAGGACCTGACACATGGGTGTCTCTGGTGTTTGTGCTGAATGCGGAAGTGTGGATTCCTTCTTATATGAATTCCTGTCCTTTTTCCAAAGTGTTGGTGCTGCCCGCCCCTCCCACAGTGCCCCAGGGTGTCTCACTGGATGTGTTTGTTAATGTCCCTTATTCAGAAAAAAAGTGATTCAAACAGTGCCAACTCCCTAAGCATCCGGCCAAACCTGGGGCACCACCCCAGCCTCCTTCCTTCACCTCCACAGCCTGTCATTTCTCAGCTGGGTGCCTTCTGCCCTCTCCATCTCTCTGCCCTGCTCCCTCTTCTCCAGCGGTTCAGGCTTCCTCTTCTACCAGAACGCTCAGTGTTGTCTCCTCCCCAGTTCCCCAGTCTCTCCCCTCCAGTTCATCCCTTCCCAGCCTTGGAGTTGGAGGGGGCTTCCTACCCCCAGGGCTGACCCTGTGCCCCCACCATCATCCCATTTTTCCCCAGCTCCCGGAGGTCAAAGTCCCAGTCCCTCAGCCTGATGCTCAGGCCTCTGTGTAGTCCAGCCCTGGCCCCCTGGCCTTCCATCACCCCTCTTTGGTTCCTCCGCAGCTCCAAGCTGCTCAGACTTTCCTGACAGACCAGACTGCTGCTTGCCTTGGGCCTTTGCCCCTGCTGTGCCTTCTGCCTGGGTGCCTTTTCAGCTCCACCCTCCCACCTCTGCTTCATCCCTCCCTTGTCCTGCCTAGTTCCCATCTCATCGATTGCAATAGGGCTAAAGGATTCTATGACGTCACCGCCTCATCCCTTTAGGCTACTCTGATGTGTCCTTGGGCCCTCCCGCAGCCCCTTGGGCTTGGTCTCAGCTCTTCCCACACTGGATTAATTAAGATCCTCTGTTTGCCCATATGTCCACCCCCCCCCCACCCCCAGAATGACAGCTCCTTTTGGGGGGGCGGGGGAGGGATTTGCAAGGCCTGACCCAACTCTGTATTTCCAGCATTGCTTCCTCACTTCTGTCCAGACTCAACTTAGCATCACCTAGTCTCTGAGGCCTTACGTGGTCACCTGCTTGGCCTCTCTGTGCCTCGGTTGCCCCCTCTAGCAAGTGGGGATGGCAGTGGCAGTAACCAGCCTCCTGGGCTCTTTGGATGGTTAAACGAGTTAAGGCTCATAAAGCCCTTGGAGGCTTGCCTGCCTGTTTCTGTTGAGGTTTAATTTGTTGCACCTTAAAGAGAAAGCCTGGAAGCTTCACTGAATCATCTCCCTCAGTTTATAAAAACATCTTTATTCAAAAAAAGAAGAAAAGACCATACTGAGTTTGCAGGCCAACCATTGTTTCCTGACTTAAGCAATTTAAGTAAGCAGTGTTTCTGAAGCCTGGAAACAACTCAAGCTTCAAAGGTCTTCCCTGGAGATGAGCTGGCACGGGTCCCCGCTACCAGAGAGCTCACATCTCTTTCTCCCTGGGAGTCAGGAGTGCAGGGCTGGGCATCCTGCCAGGGCTGGAACAGGCTGGGGTGCTCCCTTGGCCCCCGCTGACTACCCCCAGTGAGGCCTTGTACTGATTAGGGGGGCCACTTTCCTGTTTATAAAGGGGAAGCGCCTATCTTGAATTTTGTTGTTGTTTTTTTTTAATGAAAGAAAGGGCTTTGGTGTTTTAGTTTCCATGCTGTTTAGTAAGTGACTGATGAGCGGACAGGTGCCCTTGTGAGCAGGCTCTCATTTAGTCATCTGTCAAATACTTTTAATGCACCAGCCATGTGCCAGGCACTATGCTAGGCCCAGGGGATATAGTCAGGACCAAAATGCACGTAAATTCCTGTCTTCATGGAGTTGATTTTTGCTGGGGAGAAGACAGCTCTGACATATGTCCTGTGGCAGGGAGTTGGGCATTGTGACGGAAAGAGACAGAGAAAGATGAGACAGGGAGAGCTGAGAGGGTTGCAGTTTGAGGAAGATGGCCAGGGAAGGCAGAAGGAGGTGAGGGATGGAGCCAAGGGCCTATCTGGGGAAATCCTGTGTGATCCACCCAGTGGAGGTTCTAGTAGGAAAAAAACAAAACAAAACATGGACTCAGTGCATGGTGTTTGCTCCATGGCTTTTTCTGTAAAGTGAATTGATTAAGTTCTAGAGTCTGTGCCCTATTGTTGGTGTCAAGATGACTTTTCCAAAACTGGGATAGGGTTGTTCTTTTTCTCTTTCTCCCCCTCCGCCTTTTAATGTTACCAGTCCCTGAGGCACAGGCAGACGGGGAGACCCCCTCCCCAAATCCCACACTCCCATCTCAGTTCCGTCCTGTGGATGGGAGGAACAGCCACACCTCCCCCACCTCCAGGCCCAGAGAAGCCGGTGCAGGGACATAGTAAGAGAGAGAGTCCCATTTTCCCCCTGGGGTCATGCTGTCATGCCGGATCTGCTCTGTTCAAGGAAAAGAGAGAGGGAGGTCCTGAGCCAGGTTATGTAGGCTCCCAAGCCAAGCTCCTCTGGGCATCTCAGTCTCAGGCTGCAGCCCAGCTCAGTGTCCCCCACTCTGCACCCACTGGAAACCCGAGAGTCCTGCTGGACTGTTCCCTCTCACCGCTCCCCCTCTCCGACCCTGGCACCCCATCAGTTTCACCTCCAAAGACCTCCAGCACATCCACTTCCCCATCACCACTGTCATGGCTGTCCAAACCAGAGTCATGGCTGATTTCAGTGACTGACAGCCACCTACTCCCCACTTAACGCTCTTGCCATTTTTCCAGTTTTCTCCACCAAGGATCCAGAATGACCTTGTGCAAACTTAAGTTGGATGCACTCACGTCTTTATGCTGTTCTTTGGATCAAGGCCCGGCTCCCTGGTGGGGCCCACTGGGCCCTGGACAGTCATATTCCTTTCCTGTTGCTGCTGTAACTAGTTACTGTAAACTTGTGTGGCTCCCAACAACCCAGATTCCTTCTCTTCCATTTCTGGAAGTCAGGTGTCTGCCATGAGTCTACTGGATTAAGTTCAAGGTGTCAGCAGGGCTGTGTGCCTTCCAGAGACTCCAGGAGAGAATCTGTCTCTTGCCTTTGTGAGTGCCTGGAGGCCCCCTGCATCCCTTGGCTTGCGGCCCCTTCCTCTGTCTTCAGTCAGCAGCATAGCATTTTCAGTCTCTCTTCTGAACCCTGACACTCTCTCCCCTCCCTCTTTCACTTATAAGGAAACTTGTGACTCATTTGGGCCCACCTGGATCATCCCAGGTAACCTCCCTTTCTCAGAATCCTGAACATAAGCACTTTTGCATAAGTGCCTTTTACCACGTAGGTGACAGTCACATGCAGGCGACATGCAGGTGACAATCACAGGTTCCAAGGGTTAGGATGTGGGCATCTTGAGAATCACACCGGTCCAGCCCTTGCCAGCCCCTGCAACAGCACACTGCATTCCCCTTGCCACACCAGCTCCCTGTGGCTCCTCAAACCCCAGGGCCTTTGCACATGCTCCCCCCACCCCTGACACTTCCCACACACTTCACCTCCTCAATGCCAGTTCCCTTCAGGTTCAGCTCAACTTCCACTGCCTCGGGGAATCCTCCCCTGATAGCCTCCAATATCAGACTGGACGGGGCTCCCCTCATCCTGTCTCATAGCTCCCTGACTCCTCCTCCAGGATTCGTCAGGTGGTACCAAAGGAGACTAGAGTGCTTGGGGCCCAGGGCACTGCCAACTGACCACGTGACTGTGGGACAGTTACTTCCATTCGGGGGCTTCCCTGGTGGCTCGGGGTAAAGAATCCGCCTGCCAAACAGGAGACACAGGTTCAATCCCTAGATCGGGAGGATCTCCTGGAGAAGGAAACAGCAACCCACTTCAGTATTCTTGCCTGGAGAATCCCACGGACAAAGGAGCCTGGCGGGCTACAGGCCATAGAGTCGCAAAGAGTTGGACAGGACCGAAGCGACTTAGCACGCACACACGTCATCCCCATCCAGCCTGGGTGGAGCTTGGTGTCTCAGCCCCTGCCTCCTCACCTGCTTCCCGCTGACCCTGCCCCTTCCTCTCCTGGCTGAGCAGATCCGGGTGAAGCCCGATAAGACAGGTGTGGTCACAGATGGCGTGAAGCATTCCATGAACCCCTTCTGTGAGATCGCTGTGGAGGAGGCCGTGCGGCTCAAGGAGAAGAAGCTTGTGAAGGAGATCATTGCCGTCAGCTGTGGGCCTGCCCAGTGCCAGGTGCTTGGGGGCCTGGGGAGGGGTGGAGCCCCAAGTCCTAGATCTGAGGGAGGAGGGGCTGGGGCCTGGACCCCTGGGTCTGAGGGAGAAGGGGGCTGGGCGTCTGCACTCCTGGGTCCCCCCACGGGCTAGAAGCCCAGTCAAGCCTCTTCTTTGCCTGGCAGGAGACAATCCGCACTGCTCTGGCCATGGGTGCAGACCGGGGCATCCACGTGGAGGTGCCAGCTGCAGAAGCAAATCACTTGGGGCCCCTGCAGGTGGCTCGGGTCCTGGCCAAGCTGGCAGAGAAGGAGAAGGTGGACCTGGTGCTGCTGGGAAAGCAGGTAGGTGGCAGAATCATGATTCAAACTGACTGAGGCGAAAAAGCAAGCTTATTAGTTCATGTAAGGAAGCTTCAGGCACAGCTTGATCCAGGTCCCACATGCTGTACACTCTGTAACTCTGTCTTGGCTTTACTCTCTGTAGCTGCAGGCTCACATCCCAGCAGCCTGAGAACCCCAGCAGAAAGACAGGAACCTCTATCCCAAGGACTCCAGCAGAACTTTCAGAGCTGACTCTTCATTGGTCCAGCTGGAGTCATGTGCCCATCCTTGAACTAATCACTGGGGTCAGAGATAAGGTGTTCCCACTGGCCCAGATGCCATTCATGTGGTTCCTCTGTGCAACCAGAACCTGTGTGCCTAGAGCGACACCGCTGGAATATTTAGAGAAGGGCCAAAGACTTTGCATCAGGGATACCAGGGCCCCTTGTGTGCTCCTCAACAAGTGACTGCCTCTCTCGGGGCCTAAGTGAGGGGACGGGGTCATTTTGGACCAGGAGTCAGCAAATTGGTCCATGGCCACCACTGATTTTATAAAGTTTTACTGAAATGCTACCACATTTGTTCATGTAGACACCTATTATCTATGGCTGTTTGTGCTCTATAGGAGCAAAGCTGAGTGATCGTGAGAGAGTTTATATTTTCTACCTGGCCTGTTATAGAAACGTCTGCCAGCCTCCTTTCCAAAACAAAAGCCCAAATGGTTCCTGAGAAACCTCATCATTGTACAATCTTCTCTCTTCTCCACTCAGGCCATCGATGATGACTGTAACCAGACAGGGCAGATGACAGCCGGATTTCTGGACTGGCCACAGGTAAGGCCAGAGTGGGGACCATCTGCTGAAGGCCTGGGGGCTCAGAACACAGCCACCCCATCTCTGCCCTTCTGGAGGGAGGCAGGTGTGAAGCTGGACACCTGCTCCAGTGGGCAGAAGTGGGATCGACAGGCAAGACTCCAGGCCTCCTCTGGGCCTTCACGTGCCCCTTCCCCATCCTGCTACTCCTCAGCCACATCCAACTCAGCCCTGCCCCAGGGCCTTTGCACTTTCTGGTCCCTCAGCCTGGAACAAGGTTCTCTCAGATCGCCTCAGGGCTTTTCACTCACCTCCAGGTTTCTCCTCAGGTTTCACCTCTTCAGAGAGGCCTACCTTGCCCACCATCTATGAGATATGCTCCCTCTCCAACCCCATGAGTCCCATTCCCGCCTAATAGAAATGCAAATGACAGGAGTTATTTAAAATTTTTCACAGCCACATTCAAAAAGTAAAAGAGGCCAAATTTATTTCAATCTTATTTTATTTCACATAATATATCAAAATATTATTTCAACATGTCACAGAGAAAAAATATTGGGTACATTTTTGGTTTTTGGTATGAGGTTTTTGAAAATCCAATGTGTATTTTATATTTACAGAGTATTTCAATTCAGATGCTCAGTTTCTATCAGAAATATTTAGATTCCTAAAACTTATTATTGAAAAAGTAGATTCACATGCCCAAGTTGTTCTAAACAGGCTTAAATAACCATCAAATATCCTTATTTTCAGCGGCATTATTGAGATAAAACTGACCTGTACAATAAACTGCACATATATAAAGTGTTCAGTTAAGTGAACTTTGATACGTGTTACACATATATTATACACCCATGAAACCATCACCACAGTTATGGTAATGGATCTTGCTTATTGGTTTTAAAATTTAAATTAACTAAATAAAATGAAAAATTCCATCCACACCTCAGTGGAACTAACCACATTTCACGTGCTCAGAAGCCCCATGTGACCAGTGGCCACGGTGTGTTTACTTGGTTACTGGTGGTCTTCACTGTAGGATAAATGCCCCCAAAGTCAGAACCTTATCAGTTGTGTTCATGGTGTATCTTCAAGAGCAGGCTCATGGGACATTCCGGGTGAGACCTGAAAGATTTGTCTAGTGAATAAGTGACACAATAGAGAGAACAGATTGGTTAGACAGAGGGTGTGGGTCACATCTGGAAATGGTGATTCAGGACCAAAGGACCCAAGAGCCTTGGGCCAGGGGGTGTGTGCTATGTGAAGAAGGCGGGACCCCAGAGGATGTTTTGAGGATCAAGGTACACATGAGGTTCTGTTGTCAGGAGGTCTGAAAGGGGCTCTTGGGGACAGAAAGATGGGTAAATGAGACCATGACATGAGCCTTGAACCAGCCTGGACATGTTTTTGAGCCTCTCCCTGCCTCAGTTTTCCTCATCTGTAAAGTGGGATAATAGCACTTACTTCGTAGAGTCCCTAAGACGATATGATGACTTAATACATTTCAATCACTTGGAACAGTGTCCCATACTCAATACATGTTCATTGTCATTAAGAAAGGGAGATCCAGTGGGTAGGTTTAGGATATTAGGAACTGTACCCTGGGTCCCAGGAAAGACACCCTGCCCTGGATTTTTGAGATCCCTCTCTGTGACTTCCTTAGTTAACCTCCCCTGTGTTCCCCCATGCTGTCTCTCCCCAGGGCACATTCGCCTCCCAGGTGACACTGGAAGGGGACAAGATCAAAGTGGAGCGGGAGATTGATGGAGGCCTGGAGACTCTGCGCCTGAAGTTGCCTGCTGTGGTGACTGCTGACCTGCGACTCAACGAGCCCCGCTATGCAACGTTGCCCAATATCATGGTGAGTACTTGGCAGAGGGGCCACTTGGGGGCTGGGAAGGGGTGGGTGCTGCAGGCCCCATGCCTTCCTGGTGGTCAGGTGGGAGGAGAGAAGACCCAAGGACATCTCCAAAGGAAGGGGCCACCTGGTGAGTCTGGCTGACAGAGGGTTCACTGAATCATTTCTGCAGTAGTGAGAGTTCCGGGAGAGGGTGTTGTTTTGGTGAACAGGGCAGGTTTTCTGGTCACCTCAGCCAACAGAAAGGCTTCACTGGACAATAGGAAGGGTTACCCGTCATTCCAACATATGGGAAAAGTTCATTGTGTAATCTTAGCCAGTTAGATCATCTTGGTTCATCAGGGAGGGTTCTGCTGGTAATCATTACCAACAGGAAAGAATCATTTAGGCCATCGTGACTAACTAGGAAGAGTTCATGGGATCTCTTGGCAAACATGATGAATTCACTGTTCATCTAGATTCTAGAATGGGTTCATTCTGTCATCTCAGCCAATAGGAAGAGTTCTGTGTATCATCTCAGCCAATAGGGAGGGTTTAGTGTGTCATCTCAGCCAATAGGAAGAACATCGTGGGCCATGTCAGCCAATAGGGTGCGTTCAATGAAGCATCTCAGCCAATAGGGAGAGTTCATTGTGTTTTCTCAGCCAAACTGGAGAATTTAGCATGTCATTTCAAGTAATAGGGAGCATTCAGTTTGTCATCTATCCAACAAGGAAGGTTCATTGAGTCAGCATAGCCAATAGGTGAATTCAGTGAGTTATCTCAGCCAATAGGAAGGTATTAATGTGTCAACCCAGCCAATAGGGAGGGTTCGGTGAATCATCTCAGCCAATAGGATTTTAATGTGTCATCCCAGCCAATAGGGAGTTTTTAGTGGGTCATTTCATCTAACAGGGAGGGTTCACTGAGTCATCTCAGTCAGCAAGGAGAGTGCAATTGGTCATCTTGGCCAAAGGTCCATTGATTTATTATTGCCAGAGGATGACTTTTCCAGCCCTTTCCAGCCTTCCCACCGTGGTTGACTAAAGGGGGACTTCCACAATAGGAGGGCTCCCCAGGGTATCCCAGCCAGCAGGAATTGTCCACACCAAGTGTGGCCCTGTGCCCTGGCCAGTGAGCAGATCCAGAAGGGTTCAGCCAGTGAGAGTGTTTCTACAGATGTGGCACCCATGGAAGGGGGCTGCAAGAGGGTGGGCAGGGGCTGGAGCAGCCCTGTGAAACCATGGCCTCTCGAGTGCAGAAAGCCAAGAAGAAGAAAATCGAGGTGATCAAGGCAGGGGACCTGGGCGTGGACCTGACCTCCAAGATCTCCGTGATTAGCGTGGAAGACCCGCCCCAGCGCACGGCTGGCGTCAAGGTGGAGACCACAGAGGACCTGGTGGCCAAACTGAAGGAGATTGGGCGCATCTGAGCCCCTTTTCTGAAACCCAGCAATAAAACCATGACTCTTCCTACGTCTGTCTCTATTAACTCATTCCCCAGGAATCCATTCATTCATTCAATGAACATTTACTCAAGTCTCCCATGTGCCAGGTCCTGTGCTGAGCGACACTGGGGACCCAGGTGAGTTATATCAGGTCCTTGCCTGTGAGAAACTTCCGTGTTGAAGGAGGGACAGACATGGGTGCCTGGCCTTTGCTGAGACTTGGGACACAAGAGGGAATGAGGCTGGAAGCTCTTGTCCTGGGTGGGCAGACAAATAAGCAACAGATAATCCAAACCTAGGGTGGGGATGAAGAGCTGCATCCTGGAGTCAAGAGACAGTGATTTTAGAGCCTCACTCTCATACTTAACAGTTGTGAGATTTTGAGTTCCTTCCTTCCTGTCTCTGATGTTCAGTTTCCTCATGTGGACAATCGAAACAGGAAGAGCTTGGTATGGTGGTTAAGGGCCTGGTTAACCCAGGTTCAGCTCCCAGCCTGGCCAGTCCCTGGCTCTGGGAGGACCTTTGGCAGGCTCCTATTCTCTGAGCCTGGGCTTCTTGCTCCATCAAGTGGAGTCAGTAATGATACCTGTTTTCTGCTTGTTTGTCACGGCATAAGATGCATGCTAAGTCACTTCAGTATTGTCTGACTCTTTGCAACCCCATGGACTGTAGCCTGCCAGGCTCCTCTGTCCATGGGATTTCCCAGGCAATAATACTAGAGTGGGTTACCATGCCCTCCTCCAGGGGATCTCGACCCAGGGATTGAACCCAGGTCTCCTGCATTGCAGGCAGATTCTTTGCCACTGAGACACCAGGGAAACCCATCACAGTGTAACAAACCTCTCTAAAACTTGATGGCATAATTAGTTTTACCTACAATTACTTTGCTCATAAATCTGAAGTTTAGGCAGGGTTCGGCAGGGACAGCTTGCCTCTTCTCCATGCAGCATCTCTTTGGATGGCTCTAATGGGAAGTCCAAGATGCCCCAGTCACGTGCCTGGCAAGCTGGCTGGGGCTGTTGACTTGAGCTGGCTGTTGACCAAGAGCCATGATACCTCTCCGTGGGGGTGATTGAGCTTCCTCTCAGCATGGCAGCTGGCTCCCAAGAGGGAGTGCACCACAGTACAGACAGTGGACAGTGCCAGTCTCTCAAGGCCTAGATACAGAAACACACAGGGCCACTTGTGCTGTACCCTCTTGGTACAACAGTCCCAGAGCCCACCCAGATCCTAGGAAACGGGGCATAGGCCCTATTTCTTAATAGAAGAAGTGTGGCATTTGTTGACATTTTAAAGCTACAAAACCTACCCCATGGGATTTTGAAGGGTTAATTACAATAGCACCTTCAGAACCATACCTGACGTGCAGAAAATGCTCACTCTGTATTATGACCATTATCATTAGGATGGGGTGGTGGGGGAAGCTCTCAGGAGGAGTGAGCAGCCTGGCCGTCACAGACTAAGCTCTTCCCCCTGCCTGGGCATCCTCCAGCAGGTTCCTTGACGTCTCCGAGCCACAGTATCCTGGTTCATAAACACTCAGCTCATAGAGCGTTTAGAAGGTGCTCTGGCTGATAATGCCTAAGAAGCATTTTGCATGGTACCCGACCCATGATAAGTGGGTAATTATTATTTTGGTTCCTAATAAGGTGAGACTTGAAGGACAAGTTGTGGTTTAGCTAGGTGGGAGGGGGTGGGGGAGTGAGCCAGAACATTCCAGGCAGAGAAAACTGTCTGGGCCAAGGCTGGGAGGGGAGAGATGGGCTGAAGAATGGTGGGGTGTTCAAAGAATAAGTGCTGGAGGGGAAAAGGAGTGGGTGGCTCTAAGTGATGCAGGACCTGGATGTTCGGATGAGGAACTTGGTTGTCTTCTCAGGGCAGGTGCTGGGGAGCCATGGGAGGGCTATGAGGGTTGGCTGGGGTGGGAGCAGCTCTGGGGTTAGAAAGACTTGAGGACCATCTGGGGATCCATGGGCTGGAGGGAGGAGGCTAGGCAAGGGGGCAGAGGAAGAAGTCAGGGCCTGTGCTGGGATCATGCCAATAGAGAAGAAGGGATGGAGCAGAGAGATTCAGGGGACCAAGGGGGTGGTATGGGATCTGGAGATTGACAGTAGTGAGGGCAAGAGGGGCCGGAGGAAGGCTTCCAGCATCCCTCTAGAAGGTGGAGCTGATTGGAGATGGAGAATGCTGGAGGGTGGGGTTAGAGGAAAGATCCTAAGTTTAGTGGGACAGAGGGTGTGTGAAGGTCTAGGGGTCAAGGAGACACAGCTCTGGGTCTCAGGAGATTTGAGTGGGTGGAAGACAGCCACTCAAAATGCCCCTGAGAGCAAAAAGGGACAATGGAGAGCAGAGGAGGAGCAGGATCAGATGGGTATTTGAGGCCTGGCAGGACAGAGTGGACCAGAGGCCAGGAGGCTGCAGAGGAAGAAGACCACAGCCATTAAGACGTTGGGAGGTGGGGGGGTGGGCGGGGGCTCTCTGAAAGGGCGTCTCACCCTCCTCCAGGCAGTCTTCCTGGCTTCGCCTCCCCTGCCCCTCTCCACAAGCTTGTTTCCAGCTGGGACACTACTAAGTTTCCAGCTGGGACTCCACTGTCACCATCTTCCCCGCCACCCCCACCCCACCCCCAGGCAAGTGGTGAGTGCAGGGGTCAGGTTAGGCACCCGCCCCGAGATCGGACCAGCTGATGAGGACAAATAAGGTGGGGTTGGTGGCTCAGCCACCAGATCCGGGTGGGGGATCCCGGCACCTCCCACTACATCTGTCTTTCTTCCCCGCCCAGGAAGCTACCAGTCCTGTCAGACTTGTCCAGCCCCAGAGGGATCAGTGCAGGCCCTGAGTCTTGCTCCAGTATCCTCGCGGGTGCGGCCAGCAACATGGACACCTCACAGGCTCTGCCACTCCTCCTGCTCCTGGGTAAGCCCCCGACTCAGCCGGTTCCCCACCTGCCCCCTTTTCTGCAGCCCAGCAATACCCTCCCCTCCTCTCCTTTGCAGCCTCCGGAGTAGAGGTCCTCACCTTCCAAGCCTCTTCTGAAATTCAGAGAACCAGTCTCTCCTTGGACCCAGAAAGCTCTTCCCAGGGCCCGGGTGCGAAAATTCCCTCCACCCATCCCCCCAGCTGGAAATTCCCAGATCAGACGGCAGGCTCAAAAGTCTCCACGGATACCCCGGTTTCCAAATGGTCTCCCAAGGGGCTAAACTTGAACGATTCCTTCGGGTCCAATATTTCTGCTGAGAGCAAAAATCTGAATCTGGAACCCTTCTCTGGAATCCCCAGTTCCACTGTATCTCCTGACACCTTGGGTTCACAAGTTGCTGCCCCAAGCTGGGAGCCTTCCTTGTCTATTAGGACCCCAGCTTCCAGCATTTCTGCTCACGTCCCCGATACTAAAGTCTCTGTGGAGGCCTCAGCTTCAAAATACTCCCCTAAGGATGGGGATCTTGAGTTCTCTGCCCAGAGCCTGGGTTCCAAATTGTCCTCAGAGGCCCATGCGGGGACAAGCTTCCCCCTGCAGGCGGGGGAGCCTCTTGCCGTCTTGGTGGGGACCACCATCCAGCTCCGGCTGGTTCCAGTCCCCAGCCCTGGCCCCCCACCCCCTCTAGTAGTTTGGCGCCGAGGTTCCAAGGTGTTAGCAGCGGGGGGCCTGGGGCCAGGGGCCCCTGTGACTAGCCTGGACCCCGCTTACCAAGACCGCCTACAATTTGACCAGACCCAAGGGCGCCTGGAGCTCACCGCTGCTCAGCTGAAAGATGCTGGGGTCTACACAGCAGAGGTTATCCGGGCCGGGGTCTCCCGGCAGATCCGGGAGTTCACGGTGGGTGTGTATGGTAAGTGGGCTCTGAGGTTCGGAGAACTGACCATGGGGCCTTCTGGTGGGCAGGTTGCTGTTGTTCTGCGGATGGGTCCTGCCCAAGAGGACACAGACAAGGGAGAGGACTCCTGGGTTGGGAAGAGGCAGAAGAGGAGCTGGGGGACAAGGCTGATGCTTGAGGGAAGTTGGACCTGGGGACCAAAACTCCTGGGGGCGCTGACTCCTGAGTCCCAGAGAGGAGAGAGTTGGGGACTCTGTGAGAAGAGGATTCTTGGGGCTAAGAGGAGGGCTAAGACCGAGACTCAGCTGGGCCAGGTCCTGGGTGTAAGAGGTGGCAGGGACTGGGTCTCGGACCTAAGGGCCGCAGGGACTGAGAGCCTAGTCCTGAGCCCGTGCCCCCTCCCCCAGAGCCCATGCCCGAGCTGTCCATGCAGCCCGAGGCTCCGGAGACCCAGGAGGGAGCAGCGGAGCTCCGGCTGCGCTGCATGGGGTGGGGACCGGGTCGCGGGGAGCTGAGCTGGATGCGGGACGGACGCGCCCTGGATACAGTGGAGTCTGCGGGAGCCGAGCCACCGCGGATCCGCGCAGAGGGCGACCAGCTTCTTATCGCGCGTCCGATGCGCAGCGACCACGCCCGGTACACCTGCCGCGTCCACAGCCCCTTCGGCCACTCGGAGGCCTCAGCCGACGTCAGTGTTTTCTGTGAGTGGGGGGACGCCTCGGGTCGGGGACACAGATCTGAGGGCTCAGGCTCCTAGAGTCCCTAGGGAGGACGTCCAGCCTTTGGAAATCCTGGGGTGGCCCCAGATGACCCTGACCTTCGCGGTTTCAACCCCCTTCCTCTGCCTAGATGGCCCGGACCTGCCGGTCATCACTGTCTCCTCGAACCGCGATGCCAATCCCGCACTGTATGTCACCGCGGGCAGCAACGTGACCCTGAGCTGCACCGCCGCCTCGCGGCCACCGGCCGACATCACCTGGAGTCTGGCTGACCCCGCCGAGGCCGCCGTGCCCGCCGGCCCGCACCTCCTGCTGCCCGCGGTCCGGCCCGGCCACGCCGGCGCCTACGCCTGTATTGCCACGAACCCGCGCACCGGCAGCCGCCGGCGCTCTCTGCTCAACCTCACCGTGGCTGGTGAGCGATGCAGGGCAGGAAGCAGGGGCGGGGCCATCTAGGAGGGGCGGGGATGCCCGGGAGAAGGCGAGGAGCAAGG